CCTCAAGTTATTTTTAGTTCGTAAATAGGCCTTCATGAGTGCCGGTCCTTTATCCACTTATTCGAAGCCTACTTAATCTTACTATATGTTTAGGAATTTCATATATCATAGTTTCTTTGATTTGGCCCCCGTTGTATTGTTGTCGCCCAACACTCACCACCAAGTTTCAAATCCCCTTTCGGGGTTTTATGGGATTCAGTCAAGTTGGAACCTGGGGTCTATCCGTAATAGGTACAACTGTGTAAACTTCAATAACATTGCAAGGCCTGGTTCATAGTTCCTTGTGGGAAATTTAACTATGCTTTCCGATATTAAATGTAAGAGGGCCTAGATGAATTGTGTTCTGTTGTTGGGATGCATTAAAACAGATCGTCATTTTGACCTTAGAAACTCTCTAAACACTTAATTTTCGTTTATAAGTAGACTTTCCAGACTACCATAAATGTATATATATATGAGATAGTAGTTGCATTTTTCCACAATGATACAAATATACCTTAGGTTTTCAATGAATTTCACATAGTCTTGCTTTCCTACAGGTATCCCCTCCGGAATGAACTGCAGTTCCGACGGTTCGAATCTCGCTGGGGGTGCTGAGCAGGCTTAGTTCAGATCCTAACTTCGGTCCACTCTGAAAGATAATGCTTTTCGGAAAGCAAGTCTATGCTAAATTTACTAGAAACGTAAGATCTACTCATAACATTGTGCGAAAATTCAACTACCATTCCTACATAACCTTACCAAGTGGGGTGAATACATCTCTCCGTATATTGTCATTCAATCTCATTTACTCCTCGCGAAGTTTGCGTTACGCATCATCAAATCTGGTACATCTTCAGCGGGGCCAGTTGAAAAATGGTCTCCACCGTATTTTGCCTACCATCTATTAAAAGTGAAAGTAAATAACTTGGTATGTTTTTGTCTCAGAAGAGCTACTATCTTCTATCAAGAATTCCCTGAAAAATAGTAGCTCCTGATGAGACAAAATTGTATTCACACAACCACTCTAAACGTACTCTTCACGTTAAGTTGTTGAATTTTCCAGCTTTTTCACAGAAGAGCAATCATTTAAAAAAGGTATATTTAAATCACCAAGCAACGACTGCCTTTGATGCCTGTAAAGGTAAGCTCAGGCCAAGAACAGCTGATTTGCGGAAGAGAAATTCAATCAGTATGCAAAATGCTGACTAAAACAAGAGTGAAGCTTTGTGGCTGAACACTTCAAGTAGTTAGTAGAAATTATTTTTACACTAAAAGATAGAATCAAATAAATATGGCTCAACTTAGCGCACTTTAAAAGTTCAAATATTAGGACTATTTACATAAAAGGCCAAATGCCTTGAAATCAGAGCAAGTAAGAGCGGACTGGGATAGGGAAATAATTTAGATTTTTACACAAATTAATTCTCTCCAAAATTGGATTTGTTTATTTATGACCTTTACGTTGGAAGGAGGACAGCACAGCATTCAAGTCATCTGATTGGATTGGCTGAGCCAATCTAGTTTGTAAAAAATACAGTGAGTTATTTAGCCTAAATATTAAAAAATATGATTTCAAAAATATTGTGACCTCTGCTCCGAACAGCTCCGGAATTTGGAGGAAACGAAGTAAGGACGCGTTCCGAAGATTCTCATCAGTCCACTTAAGACCTGTCATTGTTTATAGCTACACGTGGTGGTGATAATCATGAGCCAAACAGCATATAAAAGAGTAGGCCACACTTGGGAAGAGTAGTAATGCAACAAAATCACCCGATAAGGTGATAGTTACTGTTTCATAGCTCAAGACTCAAAGTTTCACTACTGTCTAAATGTTATGCCGTAAGTTATTTAGCGTTTCCTATCTAACGACAAGATGTGAATGTGCTAAGTAGATACTCGAGTTTCGATATATTACAAGTCTCCAGCACTCGCACACATTGCGCCACATACAAAAGCATACATGCTCAGCCATATCGCGGTGGAAATTAGTGTGTCCTGTACAGTTTTTGTTTTGCAAGTACTCTCGGTTTGCCTGAAGGCTTGTCTGTGAATGGTGGAAAACGCCACTTTTGACTTGGATGCTGAGAATCATGTTCGTAGAGCCTCCTTGAATGGCGCTATAAACGTGCAGATGCAAGTGGTGCAACGAGAAACGGTGTTAATACCAAATTGAGCTCAAATTACAGACCTATATATCACAGTGAACTAGTCATTTTGTAGACCGGCCGTTGCCCGTTAATTTCTCGTTTGGGACACGTAATTCGGCCAGGTCCACCTCATGAAAATGGAAGGGATGGATGGGGGATAATTCCTTCAGCTGTTCTTCCGTCCACTTCAATCCGCTGTACGCTAGACGGAATGAAGTCAAAAGTCGCCTTTAGTCAAGTCGACAATAAGTGAAGCATAAAACGAACGGGGCTTTTGAATGAGGCAAACGCCAAAAAGATGGACAGATTCAATAGAAAAGGAGGATGTGTATGAAATGGTGGAAATGGTTGTGGAGAGGAGAGGAAAATTGGCAATAGTTGCAAAATCCTCTTCCTGTCAGGGGAGAACAGATTATAAAATGTACAATTATACGTCTCCACGGTTGTTTATTGGTAGAAAACCAGACAATCGGGAACTGGTTAGGTTGTATTATGCTCTCTCAAACAGATGAATGTGATCCAGCTATTAATGCTGTCTATTAATTTAGATACATACATATATATATTACATATATATATATATATATGTATGTATGTATCTGGCTTTTTGTTGATCTGGAAAAGTTAGGATCAAGGCAGACGAATGCTCAAACATACACAGAAAAGTTGCCACGCCTTTGTGCTCAACAATTACAGCGCTTGAATGGAACGAAAGAACATCCAGTGATGGAAGCCCTTGATGAGGATCATTGTGCCTATAACGATGTAGATAGTAAACGGATAGAGAGTGAGAGATGAGGGGAGGGAGAGGGGGATAAGATAAGACGAAATTTTGGAGTGATCAGATGTAGAGCTCGGGTCTGATGTCCGGATGACCATTCTGCTTCTGTCTCAGGGCCATATCAGCCGTGTCCCCGGTACCAACACCACGTGTTTCGTTGGTCTCGTAAGCGCTAGAGTAGCGGATTCCACGACGCCGACAAAAGAAGATGAGCAAAACCAGTAGGGCGAGAAGAACGATGCCAAGAATGACTGTAAAAATGGCGGTAAGAAAAGAACAAAACATTAAGTCTAGACAATGTCCAACCTTCGTCGCAAGGTTGCATGTGATGAAGGACTAATAGTTCAATTTTCCCACAATCATATGGAAAGGCTTTACGTTTCCATTTAATTTCACTCAGTCTTGCCTCTCAAAAAAGTATTCTCATCCAGAGTATACTGCAGTTTCGACTTCGCCAAGGTCTCGCCAAAAGCCCCAGGAGAAGTCGAATATTGAATGTGGTAGTGCAGTGTATGATCTAGACATGCTATCACTAGAACAGACTGCCACGAGTGCATCTCGTCGAAAAGAGTCCTTGCTCCATCCGGGTTCGATTCCTGTTGGGTGTGTTGATATGCTCAAGACGCGGACAAAACTGTAGCTCTTGTCGATAAGACTACCTAATGAAAGGCAAAGCTAAGTAAAATTCTATGGAAACATAGGCCCTACTCTGTGCTTTCGGGAAAATTAAACTATAATACTTTAATCACATTATGCTAGCAAGAAAATTTACTTTATACGAACAAAAGAGAAAAAATTTATAAAAGATATTTTCATAGTAATATATAGCAGATGGACTATTTGGTGGCTCATGAGCATGCTGAAGCAATATTGTTGGGGAGAATTTAATTGTGTATGAACGTGTAGGTCGATTTCACATGAAGACAACTGCTGATTCTTGTTGTTCTGCACACAGTTGGCGTTCAGGCTGAAGCAGTCCAAGAGACATCCTTCCTCATTTCAGTCTTCTTAATTTAGTGTCAACTTGAGACATAATAAAAAATGTTTTTTTTTAGATTTGATGGATATACAAAAGACTGGTTAATTCAATTATACTCGTGTGTGTGTGTGTGTGTGTATTTCATGTTGACAAACACTAAGTAGTGAATTTTCTAGTTCATTGGCAGATTTTTGAGACTACCAGTCGATCATATAGAGGAGATCTATGTTTCCTATTTCCTTTAAGCTAATAAGGGTAATTGTATTTAAATGTTCACACAATTATTTGAGTAGGCCCTATGCTTCCATTGAATTT